ATATATATTTATTAAGCCTATCAACTTATCAAACATTTAATTACATTAAAAAATATAGTATTAAACTAAAATTAATCCAAACAATTAAAAACCCACAAAACAATAACTATAAAATCTCACTTTTAAATTATTTAAAAATGTTTCAAAATATAATTTTTTTTAATATGCAGAATATTAAACTTTATTATTTTAGTAGGCAAAAATTATATTTACCTCAGGTTTATTAAAGCTATGGCTTATCGAGGTGTATAACAATACATACTGCGTAGTTGAAGACTGACTAATGTTAAAAATTTTCAGCTCTGCATAATGAGGTTTCTGGTGAACGATCCCATGTTTTTATTGGCAAAATGTCGATTTCTACAACAAAAATAGTATATATAATTTTATAAAACTTATAAATATATTCAAGACAATAGGATCACCCTGTATAAGCAGATATATAAGTGTAGTAATACTAGATTTTGATTAAATAAAATAATGCGAATAGTAGTTATGTTACATGTAATTGGTATAATATACACCTATATATTAAAGGACACAAGGGAAGAAGGGCAGCATTAAATTTTTTTTTTAGTTTTAAGATTATGGCCATTACAATGGTAGTATTGGGGCTACTATTAAATGTCGAAAACTATTTGATGAAGAAGAGGTTACAGTGAGACCAACTTAGCGCTTAAAAAACGGTTGATAATGGATTTGTACGCGCAAACTAACTTTGTTTTTGCTCTCCTGAAAAATGTTCATAAATGGACTACTACATTCTTCCGCTGTGTCTTTAATTATTATAAGATAATTTTATTTATTACCTTCTCCGCTTCCACCATCAGAATCCGAAGATTCTTCATTAATTTTACTCCTCTGTTGTTCGTTTGAAGATTCTTCAGACATTTCCACCTGCTTATGCCAAGCCTTGTTAAAACAACCTAAAAGAATAATTTTTGTGAATGCAAAAATAATAAAATTAAGTACATCAGTAAATCCTATTAGTAAGTTATTTTTTATTACTGAAGGTATCCTTTGCCATTTTCTTGTAATTTAATTGTATAAGTGCTCCAGTTATCTGATGGTTCCACTGCGTTTTGTATAATATCGCTAGTCACATTTAAAAAGGGTGGCCATTAACATTTGACAACTTCATTCACGAGACTATCTACGCTTTTTAGTACCCAATTCGTTGGTATCACAGAATAATCATTTACCTTCGGGGAAAGAAGCAATTACCCAGCGTTTTCTGTTTGGTCTCCATAATAATTAAAGTATGCCTAATAAATGATTGTAAAGGACACAAAAATAACTCATAAAAGAAGTCCAAAATATTAAGTATGATATTTAATAGGTGGATTTTTTAGTTTTTTTTAATTGCGTTGGTACTTAAAAAAAATTGGTACTAAAATGTTGTAAAAATAATTTTCGCAAATAATTCAGTCTTACTAAATTTTAAAATACATATATTGAGGCATATTTTAATATTGTAATTTGTATTATGTAGGACTTTTCATATGTCCTAAAATATTTTAAAATTATAATCAAAAACTGTTAAAGATTAATTATTTTGTTTTTAATACATAGTCCAAAGTATAATAGTATTTATTAATACTAATATTTATTAATTAAAAAAAAAACTGTAAAAAAACATATTACCGATTTAATCTACCCCAACACTACTACCACTTTTTTAATATCTAACTCACCAATCGTGTGTTAAAATTTGAAAATAAATGTGTTACAGAGTTTTTTGTAAATCGTTTAAATGAATTTTAAAGTAATCTAAAGTTAAATGTTTAAAAAATATATTAGTTTATATTAGTTATGTTATGATTAATTAATTATTGTATAGATTATTTGTTTATTGTATATTTGAATATTTAATCGTAATTAGACTTAAATCCGTATAAAGTATAAAGTAAAATAATTCCAAGGACTGTTAAACGTCCACGAACATATTTAACCCACATTACCTGTACTTTTTAAATTTATTTTCTAAAAATGTTATTAAATAACTATTATGATAATCTTTACATTTTAATATTATTTAAAAAAAATTAATGTATGTTCTTCTCTAGTAAACTATCAGTTTTCATGTTTATACATATTATGAATGATTAATCTAGCTTCAAAAATTAAAATGTATTTATCGCGGTTTGTAAATAAGTGAATTTATTATGTTTATAACCATGTACTCTTCAAATATAAATATTAGTTACATTTTTATTGTATTCTAATAAGTATAAATCATTACAATATGCTATAAAAATAGATAGGATAATAATTATTACCTATTCATATTATAATATAATAAATTAATTTACTATACTTGCGTCTTGCCTATTTATACGTAAATTAGTAGGTGACAATGTACCTACTTACCTACAAATCTATTTTATTGCACAAATAATTCTTATTTTTAAAAATTAAAATATAATTACCTGTTTAATAGCTGCATGAGGCTGGAGTGCACCACGATTAGATGACATTATTGTAAGTGTGTAGTAAACACAGAATAAAGGTAAAAATAACAATATATTATACTTTTGTACAGGTGCACATAACCGAACAACGAACAGGTAAACCAGCGAAGTTATACATTTTTGATTCTTAACATAGCAGAAACATTTTGTAACTTACATTGCACAGCTGGTTATTTCATGTATGCAAGCCTAGACATACTATTAAACGTAGAACAAACATGTATTTTTGACTTGGGTGTAAGTATTGAAAATAAAATAAGACCGAAATCAATCTGGAAGAATAAACCTCTAGTACAGCTTGTCCCAAACTCGCAGCTGTTATTATACGATCACAAATCTGAAAATCCAAATAAGTAAACTGAAACTAACAAAATGTAAATGTCTAAATTACATACTTCCCTTCTAAATTTCACTTTTGCTTTGTAATACAAATCATTACCTATACAATGTGTTTCGTTAAGGTTAAGACACGCTTTATTTGGAAAAATTATTACTAAAATTTTATATTTTCGTAGGTGTTATTTTTTTTACAACATTTATATATTTTCAAATTTGTATTAAGTAGGTATATTCAATTATTTTCACAACTTAATAAATTACCTTTTACGAAATCAAATAGCAACCTACAACTACATGGATTTAACACTTCATAAATAAAAAATCAGCCACTAAAATACTAAACGGTCGATAACCAGTTGTGAACAATTATTTTTAGAGTAAATAATTACGGTTTAAACGTGTAGAAGAGGAAGGATGTAGTACAGGACTATTATTATTTGCAAGCACTTCAACACTTACAATTAGTGTCAGTTTTTTGTGTGGAAGTGTTTGTCGGACTCCGGAAGACTTCCTTTACCAGTGTAGGGGGAGGAAGTACCAAGGATTGGTCGGGGGGGTGGTCGGGTTCAAATTCCCCCCAGAGCCAAAAATAAATTGTGAATAAGTAATTTATTATAGGTATTTTAGGTAAATAAATATAATAAATATAAATTTAATAATTATACTTTAATTATTAAGTGTTTAGTATTTTGTACAGTTCTGATTTTTGTTGACTATTAAATGCTCAAACGCATACCTATTCTGATATTAAAAATATAAATTAACCATAATAACCTAGCTATTTTACTGTAAACTGTTTAAGAAGATGTACACATAACTGATAACACAATAATAACCATTGTGATTATTAATTTTTATTTATTAATATATTATCAGAGATGGACAAAATAGTTACCAAAATGCATTTCAAATGTAAAATTGCATTTAAAATCAGAGAGTAAAAAAATGTAAAAAAATTTCCGACATTTTATTCGTGTAAAGAAAATCTCCAACAAAAACCAAACAGTGAAAAAGGGCCAAGTTCTAGACCCCCTTCCAAAAAAGTCAGCCTATCAAAGTAATGGTATCTACATTGTGGCCAAGTCTGATATTTCTTTAGTTCATAGCCTCACTTCATTCCTACTTTTATGAGGAACACTGCTCTTTTATTTGTTTTGTCTAACTCTTGGCCAGTTTCTGAATGAAACATGACCTTTCTGAATGATGCATAAAACAGACTTAGCAACAATGTAGATACCAGTACTTTGATTGGCTGACTTTTTTGGGAGGGGATCTGAACCTTTTTTTTTTTCTGAGTTACCTCCTTCCTCCTATCACCCACGTAACTCCTAAGTGAGTACATTTGATAATGCTGTTTTATGCTTCATGACGCTGGAATCTGTGGTTAATTAATAAAAACCCGTGCTAATCTAATCAAGCAATATTCATGCGCGTCACATCATGCATTTAGTATTACACTTTTTAAAACGGTATTAATTTTGAGAAAATTACTACTTTTAGATTTTTCCCTTTAGTTACACTATAAGACCTGCCTTTGTGCCAAATTTCACGTTTCTACCTATACGGGAAGTGTTTTATAATTTTGATGATAGTAAGTCAGTAACAAAAATGTAAATTTTGAAATTCTCCCCTTTTGAAATGACTTACTATTAAAGTCTCTCTCCCAGAGCAAGACTGAATGTACTCTATTGTATTATTGTTTGAACAAATAATTAATTGTTGTAATAAAACAATTATAACAACATTTTTGTTTAAATAAAAATTAAAAAAAAACTAATAATATCTTATTATTTAAATATATTATTATCTTTAAGTATAAATCAAATCTATGGCCTAACCTAAAATAATTTCAAATCGTATTCAAGTTTTATTTGAATACCAATATGTATTTAATACTTTCTAACGGAAGTCTCTCTGTTCAATAATACCTGCCTAATTATTTTAATTACTTTGAATGACATTATAATATTATAAACATTGTCTTATTTGAGGTACATAGGGCTCTATGACATATTTCTATTAAACGTGATTCTTTTATAAGAAGTTAAAAAAAAACAAACTGAAAATTTGTTTATTTTTGTATACTGTATTCTTGGTTTAGTCCATTATATTATGATGACAAAAACAAATAAATTAATCATTTACAAGTAAGAGCACTTTTTATGCCTGCCATTACTGGATGATCAAGTATGGTTTGGTTTGCAACTGACTCACTCGGAATGGGCCTAAAGTTTGATTTTTGCACTTCTCGTGTATCGTTGGTCTCTTCTAGTTTATGAAATGTTTTGTCTAGCAAATCGTGAACCTTATGACTTCTAGCTGTAATCAAAACAAATGTATATAGCAAGGTGTGAAAATAGTATTATTGACAATATAAGGTGTAACCTGCCTGTTTAGATTTCAGAATTTCAAAATACTAGTAATAGACCAGAAATGGTGTATGGAAATAGTCCGACAAAAGATAAAGGAGGCGAGAGAGTTCGTTGGAGAGTTCATAATATCAATATAAAATAAACAAAATTACTTACATAGTTCGGTCAACACTTTTCCATGATGTGACGTCAAAAATGTATCAACGATAGTTACAGGAATACCGGATGTGTTTGTCGTAAACAAACCTAGTGTCATCTGAAAAAGTTCAGAAACAACAACTTGAATGTTTTTTTTATGTCTTAACTCTTAAGTAATGTCGACTAAAACAAATTACAATAAATCGCAAACATGAACAATGGCTCATCTTACTTTTCTTACATTTTATTCCTAGTTTTTCTTTAAAGAAAAAACTGTTTTCCTATATTTAAATAGAAAATATACTTACTAAGCAAATTAACAATATTATATACTTCATGTTTGGGTTTTTTTTGGAGTTTGGTAAATATTCTTATGAGAACTTAACTGTTTAACGTAAAAGACAATGGAATTTCAGTACCCAATAAGAATAAACTATCGTCATCTATTCGGTTTTAATGCATACTAAAAAATATTTGAAACATTCCAGATGTATTATATAAATATCAACATAATATTAAGTAGGGCACAGATATAAAAGTAGTAACACATAGTGTTATACTGTATTTTTTTACTGTGGTATATTATTATTTACTACATATAAATGGGAAGCAATCGGGCAATTCTATTTAACTAAACATTTATATATATATATATATATATAAATTTTCTCTTAGTGACTTATCTTTTAATTTGTTAGATTTTAGAATAATATTATGTTAAGTTTAATTTGCTGTAAGCTATTTTGACAAAAAGCGACAAAAATACAATTTTCGAATTGAAAAAAGATACTACTCAATGAAACGTAATGGTGTTTTATCATTTAAAATCATAATTGGCTGTTATTGATCGCTGGTTGACATAATTATATTTATGGTTATAAATAATATCTACAAATAGTTCAATTAATATCTAGACAATTAATTTTTTGTGTGGAAGTGTTAGTCGGACTCCGGAAGACTTCCTTTACCAGTGTAGGTGGAGGGAGTACCAAGGATTTGTCGGTCCTAAGAAAAGTTCAGATTGATGCCAATTTAGAGTTACTTAAATTCAATTCAGTCAGTCCGCCACAAGTAGAGTTCTATTCAAATCAACTTTATATCAACTGTGACTTAATAAAATCCATATCCAGTTAATTATATTATGTTGACAAATTGTTTTTTATTAAATAACAAAAATTGATAAAGTAAACATCAAACTACGTCATAAAAGTTTTACTCCGCAGTACAAGTTACAACCAACATAAAAATTATCGTTTTTGTAGACGAGATTTAGGAATAATATTTGAAACAATGTACAATATTTTGTAACAACTGGTTTCATATTTTCATTACGGAGCAAATAAGAGCGCGCAACAACATGGCGTTCGTACACACGATGATGCCAATAGAACAAAAAATAATACTATTTTTTTTACATCACGTTTGTACTTAAAAAAAAAAATTGAATTGAATTTGTGTAAACTTAAAGTGAAAAGTGGTACTTGAGCACAAAACTTAATAGTATCATTCTGCATAGATCTACATAAAATTGTTTTAATGATTTGATAACATTTTTTTTAAGATTTTAGGTTTTTTGTTAAAATATACGCAATCTGCGAAAACAGTTTTCCGGCAATTAAAACTTTTTCAACTTTTACCCCTCCCCCCCCCCCCCAAAGTACCAACTAGATGAAATTTGTGATTTATAGAGTTGCTACTCGAAGGAATTGGTCCAGTATTAAAAAAGTTACAGTGTATACAGATAAAAAAAAAAGCCCACATCATAGTATAACCTTTGCCGCTCTGCATCGAAGCTAAAATATAGCCGTTATCAGTTGTTGGTTTTTATTGATTCCGCGTAGCTACCACGTCGTAACAGCCGGGTACGATCAGGAAATCGGTGAAGGAAGGCCTATTTGACAATTTTTCCTGCGCCGATCGATAGAGGACCACCCGGATACTAGAAAGGTAGGGGTTTTGGGCTTGAAAGCCATTATTCTGGGAGTTAGGGCCGATTTTGTAAATCCCACCCGTGTTAGTAGTATGGAAATGTCGGTCGTTAGTAGTAGCGAGTCCGAGATAAGTACTTCTGCTGAGACCTCGAGGAGAACTGTAAAGAGAAAACAGAAACGGGGCTCTATGTCCGACGAGGACGGAGGGAAGAAGATGCGCTCCGCGGTAGAGGAGTCTGTGAGTGAATATGACGGGATTATGGACGTGTTAGACTGGTTTAATGTCAAGTTAAACTATGTTTAAAAACACTGTATATTATTAAGATATATTTGTCTTATAAAAATGAAATGAATATCCGAAGCTATCCGGATAATTTTTAACTATCCGGATATCCGTATCCGAATTATCCGGATAATTCGGATATCCGAATATCCGGATAGGCCCAACCCTAGTATGTACCATTGTTTGTTAATTTTTTAATTATTATATCTTGTTATACTAAATTACCTCTGGTGATGTTCCAACTCTATTTATACATATATACCTCCCAATAACCCTGTGGCCAACCCCGAGTACAATTTTGTCCTCGATTGGTGCAAACAGTTTGTATGTTCTAACGTGTTATTGGCTTATAAGTATTATAAACTATAAACATCTAATTTTCTCACTAAGGAAAAAACATTTATCTGACAATCAACAAACATTTTACAAAATTTTACCGTTTTAACATTTTAAAATTAACTTTTTTTTTATTAACATTTTTAAATACGAATGGACCCGAACGTAGTAGCGAAATTGGAATCTGGATGGTGCTCGCTCGCATCTTCCGGTAGTAAATCGTTGATAAAGAAATACCTCACCAAAGAAGTGTTGGAAGACCTAAAAAGACAAAAGACCAGCTTCGGTTCAACCCTCTTGGACTGTGTTCGATCTGGATTCGAACATCATGACTCTGGAGTTGGTATCTATGCACCAGACGCCGAGGCTTACACAGTGTTCGCACCGATATTCGACCCAATCATCGAAGATTATCACAAAGGTTTCAAGCCCACAGACATACATCCGGCACAAGACTGGGGAGACGTGAACGCGCTTGGTAACTTGGACGGTGAAAACAAATATGTGATTTCCACACGGGTGCGGTGCGCTCGTTCGTTGGTCGGTTACCCGTTCAACCCACTTCTGACGGAAGTGCAGTATAAAGACATAGAAGAGAAAGTCTCGTCGACGTTGGACGGACTTGCCGGAGACCTGAAAGGGGAGTTTTATCCGTTGACTGACATGTCCAAAGAAGTGCAACAGAAATTAATCGACGACCATTTCCTGTTCAAGGAAGGAGACAGGTTTTTGCAAGCAGCGAACGCGTCGCGGTTCTGGCCGACCGGCCGGGGCATATTCCATAACCGGGACAAAACGTTCCTAGTGTGGTGCAACGAAGAAGATCACTTGAGGTTGATCTCCATGCAAATGGGAGGAAACTTGGGCGAGGTGTACAAGAGGCTGGTGACCGCCGTAAACGACGTTGAAAAAACACTAGCGTTTTCACACCACGACCGCTTGGGATTTTTGACATTCTGTCCGACCAACTTGGGAACGACCATCCGGGCTTCCGTTCACATTCAATTGCCAAAATTGGCCGCCAACAAAGCGAAACTCGAAGAAGTTGCCGCTAAGTACAGCTTGCAGGTGAGAGGAACACGAGGCGAACACACTGACGCCGAAGGTGGAGTTTATGACATTTCAAACAAGAGGAGAATGGGTCTAACGGAGTATCAAGCTGTCAAAGAAATGTACGACGGAATAAAAGAGCTTATCAAAATTGAAAAACAATCATAAAATTTATTTTTAACCGTCAAAATTCTAGTACAATAAATAAATAAATAAATATTCGAAAATACAATAGTGATACAATACAATAGTTTGTAGCCAGATTGCTTTTAAATATTCGCATCCGTTATTTATCTCAATTTTGTTTTGTAATATACTAATAGTGACCAACGGATATAGCTTTAGAGTATTACAATACCGGTCTACTATTAGTCAAGTATTACTGTACAGGGTGTTATCTAAAGCTATAGCTCTTTAAAAAGGAATTCCTTATACCAACTAGGTATACCTTGTTTTAAATAGTTACATACGCATATAATTATTAGTAAAATATCTTAAACACGTGTCCAAACGACAAAACACAGTGTTTTCCCATGTATGCAAACACCGAGGTAATCATTGGAATTGAGTTGCTTTTTATTTAATGAAATTTTGTTTTCAGTGTATTAAGTCTTAAATAGGACGTTTACTATTTTTATTTATTTTAAAATAGGTACCAAATTTTATACTCAGTTTATTAAAATTCAAATCGAAAAGGTCATTCCCATAATGAGATACAAACGACAATAAAAGCCACATAGGTGACAAAGCGACAGTATAGTTAGTTATTAGTTTATAAACCTATTTTCAGCATGTTTGTAAACATATGATAAGCTTTATATTAAACAAAATCCAATCCTCTGGAGAGACAAGAAGTCGTTGAAATATGGATTTGAAGCAATTCAGGGATAGGGCATGCTTAATAAATATTTTATAAAATATTTGTGCGTTTTTCGTTAAATTATAGCAAGTTAAAGGTTGAAAATCCAGTCAAATATGTTTCGGTTTTAGGGTTGGTACTTGTTCATACTATACCGTAATTAACAATACAATCAAAATAATTTTTAAAGCCTGTTGACTGTTGATTCACTCACAAATGGCAACCTGAAAATTGACAAAGGCCAAATGTAGTTTTCCCCTTTTTTTTGGGGGGCGGGGGGGTGGTCCCTAATAAAAAATGTAAGGACGGTCGACTGTTAAATAAACAACCGTCCTATAGTAGCGAATAAACAAAATGATTGAATAAAAGACCTCGAACTATTAAGAAATAACATTTAAGTTCTGAAACAAATATCATTTGGCCCTTTTACCTGTGCACGTCATTACAAGAGAAAATGTGTTTACTTAAAAGTCGACTATTGTCTGCAATGTGTGTATAATGTGTATTGATTATTCGTTACTTGTAATACAATTTAATTTCGTATATTGTGATGATTTTATTTACTAACACGTGTGTGTGTGTGTACATATATTTTAAGTCAAAACTGTCAACCCTTCGAGCAGACAAGTAGAAAATAAAATAAATCCGGCTTTCGCGTACGGTGGGGTGGCGACACACATATCCTTGCACCCTATTCGCCTAAGGGTCGTGCCACGTTTTTTGTTTTCGAACGGAAAGTCAATTTTTTTACCGTCCAGCAAGTCGCGTTATTTGCGCTTATTTACATATCAATAGTTGTAAAATGACATACCAAATAAATCCAATAACATATGAGCGTTATTCAAAACGACCTCCGATTTGACTACGCATAAACGAGTTTCCTATTTGGTTACAATGTGAAAATAAAATAACAAATTATCGTTGGCCGCCATTTCCTTTTTTTTATGTTCTATTACATTATAAATTACCCTTAGGACAACGATATAGGATTATTTTGTTGGTAGTAATATACGGAGTGGTCCATTTAACTTGAGAATTTTATATTTTAAAATAATTATTGCAATGTTATTTTAAAATTATTAAATACTTTAATTTTTTTAGAGCTCGATCAACTTTTGAAGTATAGACGGAATGTATATATTTAATTTAATTTAAAAATAAAAAATAATTTACTGAAAATGTTTAGTTCATAAACTGTTTTGGATAATTACTATTATTATAGATACAATTAATAAGGCCATCTTTTCTCCCAGCTTGAATTTTTAACTTTATTAACTTTAAAAATAATTATTCAAAACTGGTTATCGATTAGTCAACATTTTACTGATTTTTTTTTAGTTAAAAAAAATTTGTATGTAACCGTTTAAGTTCCAAAAGTCAATAAAACACCACAGTTTATAAGAAAACAAATTTCAAATTTCAAAATTGTTTAATAGTAGAATAACATTGGTTGCAATTTTCAAAATAAAAACTACTTCTTTTAGCGCTTTCTTTCACTTTTTATTTCAGAAAAAGTTTTAAATACATTCTTGAGGTTTTCAAGAGAAGATCTAATAGGTTCAATCCAACAGTTCCAACGAGTATTACTTGATCATTTTGTTGTTTTTTTTTTGTTAATCTTTTTTAAAATATTATTAGTTATTATACTATGCATTGTGTTGTGTTTTATTTTCTTATAATAAAGTATAAATTTAATTTTAACTTATAACGGGGGAGGGGCAAAACGATACTATTGCCCCTTTAATCAAATATCTGGAGGGGCAGTGATCCCTCTGCCCCTCCCCCCCAGAATAGGTCTATGACTGTATGACGATACTTTTCTGGACTCTCTGGACTGTCGTGGAAACTGTAAATAAAATGTCTAGACACTGCTGTTTCCTAGTGTCAGCCGAGAGGTATAGGTTCTGCAATTTTATATTATCTTCTCCTTGTGCAGTGGTTCTGTGCCGTTCTCCAAGGTATAAGGTCTCTATTTATTACACTACGTTCCGCTTTAGGCGATGGTAAATGTTTACTATTGGACCCTTCCTGAAATAAATATGCCAACCCGCAGGTGTATATTACAGCACTACAATGTATTGTGTTCAGCCGTTAACCGTGGAAAATTGGTATTCGTCCCTTCTGCGGCTTCTCGCCGTCCGCTCGATGATGATAATAGTTATTAACGAGCTCAGAGGAATCGAGTCGACAAACTTAACGCGATACAGGCACTTGGATTTTGTATGGGATTCACCGTGACGCACATAATATATACCTATACATAGGCCGGCCCAGCTAAATGGACAGAAAATATTCCTATTAATTAGACGGTTATTGTGACGTGATATGCGTCTGACGAGTGTAATTGCCAACGCATGTGGACGGAGGGTGGAGTGGGAGGAGTGGAAGGGGGGGGGGGGTGCGGGTAATCTCAAACGGGCCGGATCAAATGAAGTGTGAAGTGTTCGATAAAACCATTATTGCGACTACTACTTTTGCTCGGCGGGGGGTGTCTAAAACTCAGTGGTAGGGGTCGTGGCCAAAGCAATGCCCACCTTGGCTGTGCCATGTCCCCAGCTCATTCGGTATAGGGGTAGTTGTGACGAGAAGGGTGTTTTACTCTCGATGCGCGTATCGGAGAGGGATAAGCCAAATTTTTGTTACCCGGAAAATGTACAGAAAAATAAAAAAGGCCCAAAGCACACGAGTCTGACTTGAGGCAGGCTTCGTTTCGCACACTCCCTTTTGTACCGTATACAAAACTTGTATTGTACAATTTTAGTTTATTTTTGTCTTTCTATACTTCGAGTAAGGGGAAATATTTAAAATTATTATTTACAAGTAGGTATTACACTTAGTTACCTACACCCTTTTATATACCCGCATGTGTTGAGTACCGAACCGAAAAAAAGGCCTCCGAGAAAAAGGCCTACAGGTATTTGACCGAGATTCCGGTGCGCCTATCTACCATGTATTATTACTACAATAGTCAATACATTATACAACTGACCACGGCACCGCATAATCTATTCAATACCTATATATTATCAAAGACTTTTAACGTATCTGCGAAAGAGAGCGTTTGTTCGAACCCTAACCTAACAGTGTCGGGCATATTGATTCAAAATACATAAAGTATACAATTTATAGGCATTTGTAGATTTCGAATTTGTATTTCACACTTGATTACGTACAGGAGCGTGCCCAGAAATAATATTCAATAGGAACATAGTAATAATTATAGTAATATATTAAAAAGGAGTCCTAGGGCTTTTGCCCTCATACCATCATCTAATACTTTTAAGTACATTACTAGGTAGTATAATTTATAAATAAAAGTGTAAAAATCGAATACAATTTTGTTAAAAAACGATTGTTCATTTTAAGGGATTGAAAGCGGTATGTTTTTTAACGTTATAGACCAAAAAAACCTGACAAAATTATTACTTCTTAGGATGGTTCGATTTCAATTCAAAGAAGAGTTCTTTGACTTCTTTACTTAGTTATGTTGTAAACAAATTTTTTTTTTTTAAATGTAAATCATGTTTTAACATAAACCATTAAAAAGGTTAACAAATTTTGTATTTCTTTTACAGAATGTAAATTGGACTAGCTAAAATCTAACAATTTTTTAACAGCAAAAGCATTTTTCATCATAAAATTGTATTTTGCACATGGAAACAATTGTACCTACACGTTAAAAATAATGAATAATAACAATTAGCTTAAAAATAAATTGACATGGTCGGAATTTTTTAAAAACCGCATTTTTCTTAAATAAAACTCGATAAAACCACCCGCTCAACTTAAAATCTTCATTTTATTGAACATTTGTGAGCATGTTTTATTATGTTTAGCTTATTTTGCTTTAAGCTATTGAGGCAACAACAAGTAAGATTAAGTAATATTTAAATGCAGTACAAGTAAATGCAAATAATTCGGAACAATGTTTGTGTTTAATTTAGTGCTGTGTGCTAAACGATATAAGATTAAAAATAAATAAATGCATCCTTCAGTCTTCACTGCAACTCTCACGCCACTTAATTTGTATAATTAAATAATATCACTCACAATAGGTAACTATGTAGTTTTAGTACTAATTATATAATAAGATACTTGCACTATTTACTATGATAATAATATTATTGTAATAATCGTCTCTTTTTTTTAGGACACATACGCGGGCCATGTTAAATAATATTTTTAATTAAATTTACTCACTATATATGTGAAAAACTTGATATTTTCTTTTCATTTTATAATTAGATGCGGTTTTGTCGATAGTTTTCTTTTGTTTTTCCACCGTATTGTCCTTGGCAAACTTAACCCA